CTCTATCTTTAAAAAACAACACAGATATTATAAACTTCTTTTTCTGGACTAACTCACTATGCATGACAACTCATATTTACTGCACTGGCAACACATTTCATCCAGACTTAATAAAATTTCAAATGTGTTATACTACAATGGTTTACTACCCTTAAGGACATTACTATAAGTCACTCTTACTAATGCACTCTATATGATTATTATAACCTACCTTCTATAAACTACTTTGCTACTTTACTGGCCACTTTACTTCTAATACTAAACCTTGGTTACTCACTGTTCTTGATAACCAAATAATTATTAGCAAAGCTAGAAGGCATAATACACCTACTGGCCTTACTCTTATTAACTACTGGCACTGCTCATTCCAGTTTTAGTTTTCTAATCTCTATTCTACTTCTTCTTCTACTATTATATTATGTACTAGATGCCATCTTAATTCAAATACAATTACTAACAAATGTACTATCTTTATTCCTACTAACTTGGCTACTCTGCCATATCAATCCTAACAAAACTCTCAACCCTTATGTAAACTTTCTTGATATTGCATACTCTGTTGCTCTTCAACATTCCTTACATATTTCACCTCTACCTTCACTTACAATTAATCTATAACAACTACCTCCTATTTTTGAAATATGCCAACTTGTTAATAACCTTCAGATTATTGCTAACTCAAACTACAATCTATCATCTATCTTATTTTATACTGATGGTTCTGTTATTGATCTTGGTATCTTATAATGCTCTATGGGCATAGGTTGGGTTCAAGTTGATAACTCTACAACTATTAACACATTTTAGACACAAATTAAACTGTGGCCATGCTCTTTCAAAACTGAAATTTTTGCTATTTTTTTAGCAATTATTACTGCTCCTAGATACTGCTCTGTTCACATATTTACTAACTTACAATTAGTAATCTCCAAATATCATAATATCTGCTAATTAACATCTAATATTTTTTATACTCATATTTCATATTTTTCCATTTGGCAAACACTTATCAACTTTATTAAATCTTATAAAATTCAACTTACTTTTCACAAAGTTACTGCATACCAAGATGATCTATTTAACAACCTTGCTAATCAACTTGTTCATAATTACCAAATATTACTCTATCTAACATTCTTAACTAATAATCCTTATTATCTCAACTATACTCCTTTTATTAATAAATTTCTTATTGAAATTCTTACCTGATGCTCTATTCAAACTATATGCCAAGCCTATATTATAACACTTTAAACATTTCAACATCATTTTCAACAATAGTCTAATATTACATTTGATATCAACTGGGAAGCTACATGGCTCTACATCAATAATAATCAAAAAATCTTTAATTTTGTTTACAGCTTTTATTTATCTATTCTGAAAACTTTCTAAGTTAAAATTCTTACAGATAAACTATCTATTCCTTATACTCTTTATATGCACAATTCTTTATTTCCTTTCTTCTGTCATCAATGCAATCAAATTAGCTTTTCACTTTATTGAGTTACCTGCCCATCAACCCAAACTATTTAACACTTAATCTCTAATTCTCTTAATAATATTTTAAATACTATTAATCTTAATATGTCTGTCAATCTTGTCTCTGATTTATATACTAAAATTCTTACTCTTGACAGTTTTAAACTGCATAACTCTCCATATATACCTTCTCTTATTTCTACTCTATCTGGTTTAGTTTTTATCGATCTTATTTCTACTATTCACAATACTTCTATTTCTTATTGTATCACTACTACTCTTTTTATTAAACTTTTTCTTTACTTAAACCAACAAATATACAAACAAATATAGATTTCATACTGTATTTTATACTCTGCACAGTTCCAAACTACACTCTTTACTAACTCAACTCATAGTTATTCTTCTAGTTTAGCTTTATCTTCTATTTCAATACTACAAATTATTACTAAAATTGATATTTAAACTATTTAATATATTAAATACCATATCTCTATCTCTTATATTATTATTCAAACCCAAATTTAAATGAGTCTTGGTCACTTTTGTAAGTTTAGGTTGCAGATTATATATCTGCATCTTTATTCTTCATATGTAATTTAAAAGCAAGCTTTTTTTTGTAAAAACTTCAATTGAATTTCAATAAAGTTAAAGACATGACCTCATTGTTAATATTTTAAAAAAAAAGATATATCTATTTATTTATTTTATTTTATTTTTTTGGTTTAAAATTTTTATTTTTAAAAAATTATTTTTATTCAAGTTATTATAAATACAAGAACTTCTAGAAACTTATTTATATAAAAAATTACAATTAATCACACTTATACTTTTAATATTTAATTTAAATAATCTGCTTATATATTACTATACAAGTTTTATACTAGATAATATATTTTCAAGCCAATTACAGATCTTGTTTATTTAAACTCTTTATATATACAATTTAACTTGTATTATAGAATATCTTTAAAACATAGCTTATTTAAAGTTCTTAATATATATTAATACTTTTAGAACTATTTTTTTTTTAATAAAAAACTTATTAAAACTTTTATATTTTATATATAGCTGAACTAGTTTTATATAATATACTATAAGGGGTGTGGCAACCTAGTGAAGTAGATAGGTTGTCAACCCTTAAGTGGCAGGTCTAAGGTTCAATTCCTACAGATGATGAATTTTGGAAATTATACCTGTATTATAGTAACTGTCTCTTGCTGATCAGTTGGGTTTGGGACATCTATAATCTTAGATACACCAAGTCAGATCCCATCTGACATTGGGAGCTCAGAGCATCTATGCAAAGTGTAATGTTACATAGTATATATATATAAAGAAATGTAAAACCAGTATCATATAAGGCTTTGGGCAAACTCATGATAAGACCACTGGGTGTAGAAGGCTAAGAAACTAAAGAGATGAAAACTTACTTGAAAATTCTGAGTAAAGAGGTAGCACAAACTTTTGATGGTGCCATTGGACTAATAGAAGCCTATAAAACACCTTCATAGGTACTGTCAGATAAACCAGATGACAAAGATGTGTAGAGGAGTATATAACCAACCAGGCTGCCAAAATCACTGGAGGAAAAAAATACATAAGTATACTATACCAGATCATCTGGATTGGAAGTCTGGGTAGTTGGTTAGTTCTGAGTTGCAGCTAGTAGGAGATAATAAAGAAGAAGTCAGAAAGATAGGTACCAGGATTTGGATGAACTTTACAAGAGTAATAGTGGTTTAAGAGATAACCTTGACTGTAAGTGTTAGTCTTAGCCATAGTGTCAAACCAGGTTAGTGGTAAAAGAGAATACAGCTCACTCTGATAGGTTTACCTCAAGGATAAAAATAGTCTAAAGATTATAGTCCTATGGTTGATAGTGAATAGATTTGAGTCTATAACCTAGTGAAATTAATACTAAGGTTAGATCAGAGGGTTTAAAATGGAACATCTAAGCAGAGATGTTAGATATAGCAACTGGTGGGGAACCCTTGGATGGACTTCTTAAATAGATAATATAGAAAAGTTACACATGTAACCAGTTGTACACTTGTCTAATGATTCATTATAAATACATCTATATAAAACATATATCTGCTATAAGTATTAATAAAAAGCTCGAACCAAAGAAATTATCTTAATACCAAAAAAAAAAATAATATACTATAATTAGATTAATATTTGTAATTACAGATATTCTGTTAAACTGCTACTATTATACTATTTTTACTTTTATAAAGTTTACTAGTATTTTAGTATCTATTTTTTTAATATTTTTCTCTTACTTTAAACTGGTAAGATTTTTCAAACTACTATTTTAAATGATTTAATAAATTTGTCTTCAAATCTTTAGTATACAATTAAAGATTTTTTTCTTCTAACAAGTTTTAATAATCTAGTTAATTATATGCTTTTTTATATATATTTGTTGTTTAATTTATTTGTTTGTTTCTTTTAAAACTTTTATTAGTTTAATAATATTATTAAAAGTTTATGTTACTTTTTTATTTAGAATTTTTAAATAAAATTATATTTTTTAAGTTTTTTAGTTTTTATATTTAGTAATTTTATTATGAATGTGCACCAAAGTCTTATATAACATTAGTATGTGTAATATTATATTTTATATATATGCTCCAAGCTTTTATTTAATGTGATGTATTTAAAATTACAGATGCATTAATCCAACTAATAATTAAGATAATTTACTATAATACAAATATAAAATTTAAATTTCATCATAGGTGGGATTTAATTATTTTTTATTTAAAATTTTGAATTTTTATTTTTGATAAAAAGATTGAATAATAAATATATCTTAATAATAAAAATCTTTAATTATACTTTTTTTTTTTATACATAAATTAGTATTCTAATTATATATCTTTCTTTTTATAATTAATTAAAATTTATTAAAAGAATACATTGTTTAGTTTTTCTTTTTTATTTTTACAAATAAACAAAATATCTGTTAGTATTTTTATTGAAAAAAACAGGTTATTAATACTTTTGATTTACTGATTTTAGTTAGATTTATAACATCTTGAATATATTAAAAAATTAGTTTTTGAATATGTTGAAATATAAATAAAGTATTTGTTACGATTCAATTGTAATAATTTAAGCAAATTGCATCATCTATTTGAAGAAAAGTGGGTAAAGTATTGTTAGTTTGCCTTTTCATTATAACATGCTTAATTACTTTTTTCCAATGAGTTGACGATTCTCTTTGACATGTAGCAATTCATATAATTTAGTAATAGTCTTTTTGTCTTCTAAGTAAAGTCTTTCAAATTTTGAGTTATTTTGGATTATTTTTAGCAATGAATATTAACGTTCGTTTAGAGCTAGAAATGGCTTTCATGGAGAATTTTTAAAAAGTACTTTAAAAGTGTATAAATAAGTTACCGAACAATTGATTTACATCAGCCAATCAGACGAAAGCCTGCCTATGATGATCACGTTTCTCACCTGATGATCTACATAATAAAATTCCCTATACTCGCAATTTGGCTATGTCAAACGATAATTGGATTGATATATTTGCGTTACAAATGTCCCATCAAACTTTAAATCCAACTAGCGCTAGTGTTAGTGGACAAGATTTAGAAGGCAACGCCTCATTCGACGGCAATTCCGAAAATGAATATCCTTTTGGAACACCAATAGTTTTATGTAGAAATGTCGCAACTCAAATGGGTAGCTATTTATTCTCAAAATTTCTTTTCGAGTGAAGCATAATTGATTAACCTTATACGTATTTAAAGTTTTTATCCGCAAAGTATGGGCTATTTTGGCTATTCATTTATTCATTATTACCTTAGTAACATCATTATTATATTTGTGCGACTGGAGACACATAATTCAACGATTGTAAGTTATATGATTTCTTTTTACTGTCCAATAGTTTTATAGTTTTAAAATTTTATAATTAATTACCTTTTAAACGAAATTTAGCATTTGGATTTGGTGGATTTCCTTAATATCATCAGTAGTCCTGCTACTCGTTCTCACATACAAGTCTAATGACATTTATCAACCACCTTGGTACTTGATCATAGTATATGTGTTATTAAATTCCTACACAATAGGAAGTATAGGTAAGTTCATGAATATAGTATTTTTCAGACTAGATTTTCTTAAACTAACGTATATTGTGTATATAATAGTATGCCTTTTAGATCTAATATGTGTAATAGATCTTTTGATTATACTATCTACTGTTTCTTTTTCGATGATCGGGTTTACGTATCAAACTAGATACAGATTTAAGTCAAAAGGACCAATGTAAGTTTTAAAATTAGATTGATTTTTTTAACAGTATATATGCGATCTTACTGATTCTCTTTAAAACAAACATTCAGAATTTTTATTTTCATCACAATAACTATTATATCTTTGGTTCTCCATCCTTTGGTATTCTCGATTATCGATGCAATTCCAGCTGTTTTAATTGCACTGTTATTATCGTTGTTCTTTGTGCTTGATACGTGGTATATGATGGATAGTATGAATAAAGATGAATTTCGGGGTGCAAGCATGCAATTAATATTGGATTTACTAGTGCCATTCAGGTGTATACATCATATTAGTGAACTTACAGCTGAATTTTGGTAATTATCTTCACTATTTTAAGAGACAAGTTTAATTATTTATTTTTGAATCTCTTTTTTTTAATAATTAACGATGAAAAAAAAATTTTTATACTAGGTAAATGTATAGCATTATATGTCCGGAGCTAAATCATAATAGAGTAATCATTTGCAACTATGTTACGGTTTTATCGATCGATTGTCACATGGGAGGGCATATAAGCAAACATATTTATCCTTCGTTTTGCTTCGGATTGGTAAAGGTTTATTCATTTTGAGGTATTATGAAATGCTTACAATCTTGGATTGCCAAATTTTATATACATAGAAATTACTGATAAAAATAAACATTTTTAACGAACATGATATTTATTATATAAACATTCTATATTTTCTATATTATTAAATACCTTTTTACTATAACCATTTATCCAGGTTTTCTCTGTAAGAATGATTCTAAGATTTTAAATATACTATTTATTATAAATTAAAGACAGTGTAAATTAAAGACATAGTGTTCATTATAAATTAAAGACATAGTGTTCATTATAAATTAAAGACATAGTGTTCATTATAAATTAAAGACATATAGTGTTTATTATAAATTAAAGACATGGTGTTTATTATAAATTAAAGACATAGTGTTTATTATTTTGAAACTGCTACAGATCTGAAAAGTATTGGGTGTTGTAAATAAAATATATAAGTGATAAACTAGCGGGTTGGGTTGTTGGATATCCGAATGATCGTTAGTAAACGGATAAGTTATCCAGATTTTTACAGTATGTGATAGCATAAGATGTTCACTGAGCCAACTTTGGATAAGTACCTTATATACTGAGACTCCAAATTTAAATAAAGGTAATAAGATAATGTATCCACTTTTTTATATACTATATAACGATAATATATGTTGATTTTGGGTTGGTTCATATCACATGATCAAATAACAATAAATTAGATTTCGTTATGGTGGTAAATGCTTTGAGTGTGGAGATACCAATAGTGGTTCTAATTGGTGCACCAAATTTTCTCTGGCGTAATTGACAAGCAGCAATGTCTATATTGATTTTAATTATTCAAAAGACTTAAACTACTGCTTTCGGATGTGTGGACTATCTGGAATAAATCCCTTTCGAAAACTTTGTTCTGCGTAATTTATTCTAGCGTCTGGTTGAAAGGCTCTAGACATATATTTGACAATGGATCTAGAGTCCATTTCCAATAAACAGTTTTATTGAATATATTACCTTGAAATTAAGACAATTAAGATAAGGTTTATTCATAACGCAACGCATCGCAAATTAATTAAATTAAAGCACTACATAAAGTTTTTAAATTTATGGTTACTAGGATGACAACTACTGCCACAAGGCAATTTATATATATATATATATATTTATTTATTTATTTAAAATGATCTTATTGCACACATTTTTGTATATGTATTTGGAATTATCTACTTGTGAAGATTTCATAAATTCCGAAAACTTGTCATGATCCGATAGGTTTAAGTCCAAGTTGGACTATATGGTTCGTCTTTATTTCGAGATCACGTATAGCAAATGTATCTTTTGTTTAATAACGACCTTTTGCATTCCAGATTATTCTCTTGATCGGACTTTAATACAGAAATCAAAGTTTCATGATTTTACGTCATCTATTAGCCGAATTGTTACTAAGGTATTTATTAAATGCATTATGGGATAAAAAAGAATAATCTTGAGGTTCGATAATCAGATGGAAAGAGTTGTAAAGAATGAAAAATAAAAATAACAAATTTGTATTCAAATCTTTTGATAATTTATTATAAAGATGTACTGTACCTAATATCGCTACATCACATTTATTCCAATATGTGACATATATATAAGTAATGGAGTGTTACGTATTAATTTAAAGTACGCAATTTTACATCCTATTGTTTAAAATTCGCGCTAAAAAAAAAAAACTATGAATAAGAAATTGCTTTTAACGTTCCGTTGTATTGAAAGGAATCAAAATCTCATATATATGTGTGTGCGAAATTAGAATGGGAGTGAATGTTGTCAAATCGACAATTGAATTTGAAATGCAAATTTGCGTTGAACTATCATTAACAATTATATAAGTGGTACAGAATTTCGAATGTTAAGTAACTTACTGGTCAATTCATCAGATTTTTTAAGGGTTGAGTCCGATAAGTTTTAAAATCTGGTTTGTTTTCTTATGGATCATTCATGGATGACTGAAGCAGAAAATAGTAACATTCTAACTGTACTAATAATCTGATGAACTCTTTATTATTATATATATCTTTTTAACTTTATTATCAATGACAAATTTTATGACAGTTGTTGAGATTACAATATTTTACATATTTAGACATATACGGTACAGTGTTCCTCTAAATTTATTAGCATTCTGCTTTAGCATTGTTTCCAAAGCGGATATATGTCTGTTATGATATTATCTAATTCAGAGTATATAATCGATAACGAAAAAGAAGTACGCGTGTTGTATTCATAGATAAACAAAAGACTTTTCGATTAATTGTACTTATACATGCCGTAGAAAGGATACACTCAACTTCCCGATAGTTATTTCTCCGACAAGCCATCTAACCTAATTAACACGGGAGACAATTTGGCATTTTTCTTAGTTGCAATTATATTTTGTTAATGAATTTTCACGCAGCATGATGTCGGTTAAATAGCCTTGGGGAAATGACCACCGGAAAAGTTGATATGAAACCCGTAGAAAGTATTTTGTCATAATTTCTACCTGAATTTTGGCATACAGCATTGTCTAAAGCTAAAATTGTGCCGCAACTAATGGAAGTCAACCTATTTTTGCTTAGTTAAAAGTATTTGACATTGATTTTTGATATAAAATTGCTGAGTTATCTCGGAAATTTATATGCCGAAATAGTTTTGTCATGCCGAAATTCTATGAATGAACTATAGCTTGCGGTTTTATTTCTACCACTATCTAAAAATCTGTCTAAATATTTTTGACACAGCCGCAACTAATAGAATCAAACATAGGGTAACGGTAACATATGAAAATCATCAATTCGAATTTATTAATCGTTAAAATTTTTTCGACATTTTATACGATTAGAAAATGGAAATTTACTATCTTTACCCATAGGGTAGAATATCCGGTATAATGTTTATATAGTGCCCTATGTGTATGGGAGCCCTAATTTCCCCCCAAGTTCTGATTGGACGTATGAAATACATCTCCCATTGGATAATATAGATCACGATACCTTTATAACAGCACATGATCTTAGATCCAAAAAAAAAAAAAGCGTTTCAAGTAAAAATGTGATATATATTAGTCACTCAAGTAAAAATTTCTTGTAAAATTTTTTATTCGATATTTTATTTGTTTGAGAAAGAGATACAACTTTCTATCGACAAAATTTCAAATACAATCAAATGTGAATAATTTCCTTGATAAAAACTTACTACACTATAGCGAACATCAGATTCGAAATAAAAGTTGTTTTTATTATAAATTACGGCTGTTTGTTTCGAGCACAAACGATTATAAGATTTCAATTTGCGAATTAATAAACAATTAAAATATTTCAATTTTTGAATTAATAATAATTAAATAGTTCAGTTTGCGAATTATCAAACAAATCATATTTCATTTTGCTGGTTCTAATTAGCGTTAATAGATTTAAATATTTGCGCATACAAAACAAAAAAAAAAAATCAATACTTATTTTGACATCTAATTTTCGCATTTGGAGCAATTCGATTTATTTCGGTTCTTTGTTCGTCAACAATGGTATCTTGTGGAACCGATTCAATTCTGGCAATTCGTTCTCTTTCTGTTTGAATCATTTGTTGTAAAGCCATTCGTAGCCTGTAAATGTCTTCACCTTTTTTATCCTGCCATTCTATAGAAATTGCGACAAG